GAAGAGACATTACAACTGATACCACAAAAATACAGAGCTTCATAGAGACGACTGTGAACAATCATGCCAACAAATTGGACAACCTAGGAGAAATGGAGAAAGTCTTAGTAACATACAAACTACCAAAACTGACTCATTAAGAATAGAAAATCTGAACAGATCAGTAACATGTAAGGAGATTGACAACAGTAATAAGAAAACCTCTCAACAAGAAAGGCCCAGCACCGGTTGGTTTTTCTGGAGAATTCTACCAAACATCTAAAAAATTAATGCCAATCCTTCTCAAACTCTTCCAAAAAATTGAGGAGGAGGAACCACTCCCAAACTCTCTTTACAGGCCAGCATTACCTTACCAAAGCCAGATAAGGACACTACAAGAAAAGAAAGCTAGAGATCAATATCTCTGATGAGATGAAAACAGAATATCAGAGAGAGAACTGCACTTCCCATGTTCACTGCAGCATTATTCACAATAGCCAAGATATGTAAAAAAACATAAATATCTATGTCTATCAACAGATGTCTGAATAAAGAAGGTCTGTTATAAGCATGAGCATATGCACACATGCAGTGGACTAATTCAACCGTGAGAAAGAAAGAAATCTGCCGCAACTTGCAGCAACATGGATGGAACTTGGGGGCATATTATGCTAACTGAAATCAGGCAGACAGAGAAAGACAAACACTGCATGATATCACTTAGTATGTGGAATCTAAAAAAATAAAATAAAATGTCAAACTCAGAAACAGAGTAGAAAAATGATTGCCTGGGGCTGGGAGGTAGGGGAAATAGAGAAAGGTTGGTAAAAGGGTACAAACTTCCAGTTTTAAGTCAGATACAGAAAGAAAAATGCTGAATGACAATTTCAATGAAATTGAAAAAAGCCAAACTCAGAGAGTGAGAGTAAAATGGTGGTTGCCTGGGGAGGAGGTAGGGAAAATGGGGAGATGTTGCTTAAAAAGTACAAACTTCCAGTTATAAAATGACTAAGTTCTGGGGATCTTATGTACAGCATGGTGATTATAGTTAATAATACTGTATTATATACTTGGAAGTTGCAGGAAGAGTAGATCTTAAATGTTCTCACCACAAGAAATGATAATATGTGACACCATGGATGTGTTAGCTAATGCTTTGGGGGTAGTCATTTTGCAATATTTAAGTGTATCAAATCAACAGGTTGTATACCTTAAACTTATACAGTGTAACATATCAATTATATTTCAATAAATCTGGAAAAAATAACACACAGGCATAAAAATTTTACTTAAGAAAAAAAAAAGGATTTGGGTATTTCCAAGTGCTCTCTCTCTCTCTCTGAGGAGATACTCAAAGTTTTGGATTACTTTCCAAAATTATACATGCATAAAAAACAGATTCGAATTTAGTAAACATATTGTTCTAGTTACTATGTCATATTCAATTTGTTACCTGATGATATTTAGCTGTGGAAGAGAGGTAATGATTTCTTTTTCACATTGTCAGATCTTCAGATCTCAGTATTAGACTTTATCAGCTATACATATTTACTGAACTTTGGCTATGTGGCTAGGACTGAGTTGGGACCTGGATATAGAGCTTAGGGCAGACATTGGAATAGGTAAGAGATTAAATTCTGGGTTCAAATTTTTGAAAAGAATAACTTCTGGGAATACTCTAGGGACCTAACAAAAGTAAATGCCCAAACTAACCAATGGTTTATTTTTCTGAGATAAGTACATATTTAAAAACCAAGAAACAGTAGAGAAACCTAACTGAAATATATAACCACTTGATTTATTTTTTAGGATGTCTACTAAAATTACCCCAGCTTTTTATGAGTTGAGATCATCCTGACATTTAAATTTTATCAATTAGACATCCTAAAAAATTAGGCCAGTGGATATTTTAAATAATTATTACAAGAACTTAGGCCAGTGGATATTTTAAATAATTATTACAAAGTATATTTTATCAATAGAAGTCATTTATTCCTGAGAAGTGTGCACAGATTATCCTATCTTTGATTTATATAAATTCAATTAAATCAGTGAAATAAATTCTGATTGTATATCACTATCTCTTTTTCCACTGGTAGTTCAGTTAAGAACAGACCTGAGGGGTGCCTGACTGGCTCAAGTGGTAGAGCATGTGACTCTTGATCTCTGGGTTGCGAGTTTGAGTTCCACATTGGGTGTGGAGCCTACTTAAAAACAACAACAACAACAGACCTGAAACTTCTGCTGATAAATTTTATTATTTTGTATTGTTCATAAAATCTACAGAAGCTGCTCCCTGAAGGTATCATGCTCTCGCCACAAACCTTAGATTACACAGTATGCTTGCATATGCCTTTCTCCCCTTGTGTGTCTGGTGTGCTTCTACTCACCTTTGAAGACTACTTTTTCTACACCTCTATTATATAGCACTTAGCAAGTTTTCTTTTATTTTCCTGTTTACTATATTTTTTTCTACTAGACTGAGCACTCCTCCCATGCAGGATATTGTCCCATCCCCAAGCATGATACAGTGTTCAATACTTAATAGGTCATTGGTAAATGTCAAAAAATAAATGACATCTACGTCCAAAGATAATAAGGTTATATATTTATATATATATATAAATAATAAGGTTATATAATTATAACACATTGTGATGTTATGTAAACTTGAATATGACCAATTCCTTGATACATAATTTCATACATATGCCATGAAAAGATATCTGGTTCTTGAATGTACACATAAAATGGAAGCAGCCATTTTATATCAAAAAATTATGAGGTCACTTTCTCGGGAATCATAGGAAGATAAGCCTTAAATATGTTACCCAGAGTTGTTTGCATCAGTCTGAGAATCTGCAAAAAATGGAAAATGGAGAAAAGATACTTAACCAGAACACTCCTAAAAGACTGGCTTTTAAGCAGGCAAATATTCAATAGTCTTTCTGAAACAAGATTCTGAAATAAAATCATTTTAGTATTTTCAGAAATATTGAAAATTACTTTTAAAAAGGTGCCTTCAGGATATAAATACCCAACAACATAACTCTCTTTCCATCTAACTCATTTCCATCTTCCCTCAGAGGTGGGTCATTTAAATTAGCTTTGTAAGAAAGATAAGACTCTTACTGCGAGGTGGTTACTTAGCAGTTATAGAAGGTACCTACAAGCTTCAGGGCCCAATTACATGCTGAACCTTACAAAATATTGTCATTCTGAGGCAGTGACATCTAAGCAGATATCTCAATAATAAGAATGAGCCAACTAGGATGGAAAGTAGGGGGCAGAGTGCCAGGCAGAGGAAACAGCACAGAATGACATACATAAAGACCCGGAGGCAGAGAAGCCCTAGTATATCTGATTGGAAGGGAGCCAGTGTGGTTGCAGCATAGAAGACAGGTAGGGAGGGCAAGAGGTGAGTTACAGAGGTAGGCAGGGGCAGCCAGCCCAGCCCAGACTGAGGTCTGGAAAGGAGTTTGGAATTTATTTGAAGAGGATATTCAAATTCACAGGTGACTGCCTGGAGCTGTAATTACTACCAGTTCCCTACTTTCCATCAGATACAACCCAGGACCAACAACTACGCCCAGTCATCTACATAGGCCACACCTTTTCTCATAGGTAGATCCACCAAGGACACGAAAATAACATTCAGTTCCCTGGAGAGCACAGCACTTCTTAGAAAATAGAATGTGCCTGATTTTAAGCAATAACTATCATCATCAACAACAACAGCTACAAACGATGATCTCAACTTTGAATGCTTGAAGTGTGCCCTTTATTTCTTCCAACTCTGAACAAGAAACACATTTTCTCCTAATAATCTCATTTTCAGTCCCAAACTTATGGCTATTTCACTCCTTTGGATCAGATTAAATTTAAATGGCTATATTAAGGTACAAAATTATGTGTACCTGGTGTTTTAAGTCCTTGTTCAGTAAGTTTGGAGCTGTTCTCATACCACCTCCTTAAAACAGTTCTCCCAAATATTTTCCTCCTGGATCTCTGGTTTTAATTCTGCTGGTGAAGTTCTTTGTCTCATTCTATACCTACCCTCTCCCCCATCGGAAATCTGGATTCAAATGATTTTTCTGCTCTCATTGACCCACTGAAAGAATTTTTTTTCAGGTGGCATTTCCATATTTATTTATTCATGCGTATTAGTATAGATTCCCGGTTTTTATGTTATTTATAATCCATTAATTATTTATTTTGATGCTAAAATTACCCCAGCTTTAACTATTGGGAGATCCTTCAGGCTATCACCTGTGTCCTTTTGACCAGTCCCCTCATTTTTGAGCACTTCCTTATGTTCTAGCACAACAGACTCGTCTTGCACTTTACTTGCCCCAGCCTTGGAATCACCTTTTTCCCCAAAGAGCCAGCAGAGTCCTGGTTCTTTTTCTTTTCTTTTCTTTTCTTTTTTAAAGATTTTATTTATTTATTTGACAGAGAGAGACAGAGAGAGCAGGAACACAAGCAGGGTGAGTGGGAGAGGGAGAAACAGGCTTCCCGCGGAGCAGGGAACCCAAAGCGAAGCTCGATCCCAGGACCCTGGGATCATGACCTGAGCCAAAGGCAGACGCTTAACGACTGAGCCACCCAGGCGCCCCAGTCCTGGTTCTTTTCATTGGCAAATGAAATTTGGAAACCAAGACTTGGATGCTAGATATACTACTGGCTTGTCCCTGACTGAGCTATAGGAATTTATTATCTTTTTTTTCACCACGTATCAGCTAGAATTTACATTCCATTGCAAGTCTGGCTCTAGAAGACAGTGGATTTTTATTATCTTTCTCAGTATCTCCACTGTGAGTCAGGGTGGCCCACGGACTTTGCACACACACACACACACACACACAGAAACTCATCATATTGAAACTATTCTGGGTTTCAGTTTGGGATCTTGCGGAGGGAGCCCTTGGTCACAGGCGTGCAATATAGACCTGTGTCCTCCAGAGGCCGCTGTGCTGCGCCTAGCGCAGCCCGGGAGCGGGTCTCTAACCTTGCGTGTCTGCAACACTTTGCAAGGACACAGAAGAGGAGGCACGTCGGCGCTCCTACTTCCTCCCGACGCCGCCTCTGATTGGCTCCTAGGCGTATAAGAAACCGGTGAAGGAGCCGCCGACCCTTACAGAAACTTGCTGGAGGTCTTTGGGTGGCACAGACCTTTCCTCCGCGTCCACCCGCCCACAAGCCGAGCCCCGGGAGGATGAGGTCGTCCTGTGTCCTGCTCACCGCCCTGGTGGCGCTGGCCGCCTATTACATCTACATCCCCCTGCCCAGCTCCGTGTCGGATCCCTGGAAGCTGATGCTGCTGGACGCGACTTTCCGGAGCGCACAGCAAGTGGTGAGACGCATCCCAGAGCTGATTCTCTCTCCCTCTTCTTAAGTAATACTTGAAGGGGGAAGCAAGATTTCCGGACCGCGTCCCACGAGAACGCGTATTTTTCTAACGCAATTAGGCGATCAGTTTTTAAGGTGGTTCAGCCTGGCGTTTTCAGGGTTTCGCGTTTGCCTCCTTGCTAGCAGCGGGCTAGACCTGTATCTTCTCTGCGTTGGTGACCGTGAAGGTGAAGTTCTTGAATAGAATTTGACAACTGTTTAACCCTTCGTCTGTCTTAAATATCGCTCCTCTTTCTTGGTTCGCAATGTCAAAAAACAAAAAACCCACCTTTCAGCCTTTTATAAACCACCCTTCCCCATTTTCCTTCTTCTGTAGGGGCCAGCAGAGAGTGAGTTAAATGTTTTAGGAAGGCTGTGGGGAAAAACAGGCTCTGATTCCGGGTAGTGTGCAGCCACCTTAAAAGCGGAAGCGGGCACCGGCGATCTTCTGAGGTCCCCCGACTGTGGAGCTCTCCATTCTTGGGGGCAGCAGGCAGGGCTCCTGTAAGCACTTGAGTAACCGCAGGGATCTCCGGTTTGTGCGTGGTGCTTATCAGCTCAGCCCAAGAAGGAGGCCAGGAGGCCTGGCGGCCTGGCTGAAGACAAGGCGGTGGAGGGGGCGGCAGCCGCGGTTTGCTTGATGCACTTGTTTTCCGCCTGCCCTGCAGCATTTATTTTCTGTCTTTGATTGTCAAGGAGATGATCTTGACCTGGGCCAAGATACTCCTGCTTACCCTTGCAGGGTAACATTTCTGTCTACTGTATCATGGTTATGGATTTCTTTTCCCCGTAGACCATACAATGTAACTGTCTGCAGTTTCTTCTGTAGTAAGAGACATTAATTTTAGTGCCAGAGAATCTAAAATCTAAACTACAATCTGCAGCCAAGGCTGGGCTCTATTATTCTAACCCTTCTTAATCTCAGGTTATTTTTGTAAGCTCCTTTTTTTTTTCAGGAGTGACTAGAGAAAGAGGGGGGGAGAAATCATGATTTTTCCTAGAGGGTTGATGTTTCTTTTCCCTGTCCATTCTAATTGTGTGTAAAATCACTGAGTCTCTGAGGCTTTGTCCTATCACAAAGCCCCTGAAGTAGGGTACTGTAGCACATTCCTACTAAGGGTTTGTTTTTCTTTTCTTTTTTAATTAATTTTTAAAAAGACTTCATTTTTAAGTAATCTCTACACCCAATGTGGGGCTCAAACTCACAACTCCAAGATCAAGAGCTACATGCTCCACCTACCAAGCCAGCTGGGCACCCCAGAGATTTGTTTTTCTTAAATCCAGCCATGTTTTCCATTCCCTGTTGTCTCTTAAGAATGGTCTATGAAATTATACAGCCCCTTCCTTCCCTCCTGTTGACTGTAATGCTGACATGGTGGAAGAATGACCATCCCCTTCTCTAGCATTTGTCCCAAGAAAGGTGGTCTTCTTGTAGCAACCCCTGAAGTCCCTCTCTTCCTTCAGAAATTATGTAATTTGGGAGTGATATCCTTTAAAGGTTCTGGGGTACAATGGTCTTTACCTGGGTGGGTTATAATGGCCTTCAACAACAAGAAGAAGAATAACTAGTTAGAAGAGTAAGAAAAACATGAAAAAAGGATCAAACTGCTCTGTTGGCTGCAGAGATTATTCTTAGTTTTCAGGTCACCAAAGAGGTCTTCCCCATCATGTGTCATTGGGGAATAGCCAGGTGTGGAGAAAAGCCATTCTTCCCCCAACTATAGGCTGTCAACCCATCAAAGGCAAGGCCGTTGTACCCTATGATCCTCTATATAAAATGTGCCCTCAATTGATGTTTGGGACTGATAATGTGTGTAAAGCCAGGTCATGGAGATAAATGAGGTAACCAATTATCCTCACCTGACACTGTGGCTTGAGAGTGGGTTTGCCCAGAAGTGGCTCTCATCACTTTTCTTCTAAATTGTGAAAGATCAGAAAGATCATTCAGGCCATATTAGCATATTCTACCCAGTAAAGCAATTTACTAATGTCACTTCAAATTGTGCCGGGGAAAAGGCAATGTGACTTGACACATTGTAAGTGAATACGAACATGACTGCTAGAGGTATGCCTCCCTGAGTCCCATCCCAACCAGGCCACTTACTGGCATCGAGGCCAGGCAATTTACTAACCTTCTCTGGTCCTCCGTTTTCCCTGTAAAATAGGCTTACCATCTACCTTACAAGGCTGCCATGAGGTTTAATAATGTATTTAAATACCTGTAACTTGTAGTTATTCCTCTAAGAGTTGTTCCAAAGGTCCACTACGGATTGTGGAGAGAATCTGTGGGATTGGCCAACTTTGTTGAAACAGTAAAACAAATGTCAACTGGAAGGGAATTATCTCATTGAAACCTGGGGAGCTACCACTAAATTGCATGGCATAAAGTTTGTTACCCAAGCAATTTTCGTTAGAAATGATTTGCTCAATTACAAAAGCCACCGAAGCTACTTCAGAAGGTGAAGCTTGGCCTACTTCTTAACACAGTAGGCCAAGCATCAAGAAATATGAATGCTGCTTTTATTCTTGTGCAGATGAGTCAGATCATTGAGATTTTATTCATTGTACTTTTTTTTCCTTGGGATCCTCCAATATTGCCTAAGAAGTAGCTACTTGAGATCTTTCTCTAAAGTCATCTCCAACATGGATGCTGCATTAAAATCCTCTAGGGAGCTTTAAAAGTCCTGATGCCCGAGTTCTGTCCTATACCAGATTTATTCAGAATCTCTGGGAGGTGAGACCCAGGCATCAATTTTAAAAGCTCCCCGGGTGATTTCAATGTGCAGTAAAATTTGAGAACCACTGCTCTTTAAGGTAAATCAAAGGCCTTGCAGATCAGTTAATATATATTCCTTAAATTGCACTAGCTATCTTGCACACATGTTGCTGGAAATGAGCCCTTTTGCATTACATGGATTAGTTTATCAGATTAGTTGGTTGACACTCAACTGACTGAGCCACCCAGGTGCCCCAGCACTGCTGTTTCATGAGAAATATGGGGGAACATTCAGCAACCTTGTTTTGTTTTGTTTTATTTTGTTTTGTTTTACAGCATCATTTAAAAAAAAAATGAAAGCAAAAAATTAAGAGATTATATAAATTATGGAACACGCATTTTTTGAATACTATACAGTCAAAACATTTAGGTCGTAAATAATGTTAAAGACCCACAAAAGATACGTACTTTATGTTAAGTGGGAAAATGCAACAAAACAGCATATATGCCATTATCCCATTTAAAATACTTATATATACCAAAACATATAGTTCTGTATATCTATATGCCAAAACATATAATTATGTATACCTATATATCGATTTATCTATACTTAGAGAAAAAGCAGAAGGGTGTGATTTAAAATGTAGTGCCTTTTTTTTCTGGGCCATCTTCAATTTTCACTTCTATATATTCTAGCTTTTCTACAATGAATGTGTAGTAATAAGAAATTATTAAAAAAATTTTTGTAGGTTTCCTACTTCTAAAGAGGAATTGATGTGCACACACATACCAATGTGATTACTATTTTAGTAATTGCTCTGTAAGAAAATCAGATTTCTTTAAAAAAAAAAAAAAAGCATCCTGGATCCCCTGATACAGCTATCATAGTGGCATGCTTCATGCTTAGTCACTTAGATGTGACACAGATGGAAAGCCCACTATGTGTGGTTTTAGGGAGATGCCAAAATGCCCTAAAAGAACCTATAGCCTGGTAAAATGGAGAAGACATGTTAATATATAGCTATTAAAAAGGTACTTGCTGACAGGCATTACTGAAGAGGCATACTTCCAGAAGCTCATAGGAGGGAGAGGTTATGTACGGTTTAGAGGAAGGTAAAGATGGCAGCTAAAGGCAATAGGTTATCTGAAGAGAGTTCAGAGCAAGGGCTGGGCTTGGCTTACCTTGATCATTTCCCAATTTACTAATTCCTCTACTATGTATCTTTTTTTTAAAGATTGTATTTATTTATTTTAGAGAGAGAAAGAGAGAGCGGGTGCAGGTGGGGGAGGAGCAGAGGGACAAGAAGACTCCGAGAGGAGTACAGAGCCTGATGCGGGGCTTGATCCCATGACCCCGAGATCATGACCTCGGGTGGGACTCTTAACCCACTGAGCCACCCAGGCCCTCCTCTACTATGTATCTTTTTGATGACATAATGTAAAACAGGTGTTTTTGCTGAATGTTTTCCCCCTATTTCTTATGGATGACAGTGCTTTTGAACCAGTTGAACAAGGTTTTTCATCTTGTAAAATGTCTCCAAACATCAAAATGCAACATGACTTAACCTGGATGTTCCATGCAGGAATGTACTTTCGGGCTGTGTATATGTGCTGCCGAAGCGAGCACTCTCGGGCTGTGTAAAGTGTGGTTTAAATCCAGCTCAGCTGGATGCCATGCAGAACTCCAATTTGCAAACCTTTTTCATAACCTTTCATGAACTGGAACGTTTACTGTTGTCAGGTAAATTTAACTCAAAAACATTAGTAAATAGTAAGTTTTGTCCGCCACCTTCTAGACTTGCTGTAATACATATTTCTTCATTTAATTAGAGATTTCACCAATCACAATAATTTTTAGCTAACTTGATGGAATTTTTATAAACACCTCGCAGCAGAAATGCTTTAAGAATACTTTAGGGGCAGGGCACCTGGGTGGCTCAGTCCATTAAGTGACCGACTCTTGATTTTGGTTCAGGTCTTAATCTCCGGATCATGGGATTGAGCCCTGCATGAGGCCCTGCACTCTGTGGGGAGTCTGCTGGAGATTCTCTCTCTCTCCCTCTCCTTCTGTCCCTCCCCCCACTCTCTCTCTCTCTTTCTCTCAAATAAATAAATAAATCTTTAAAAAAATTAAGGTCAGATTGATTCAGCTACCAGGTGTGTTAGACAATGCCTAATTTATAGCTTTCCTTGTTATTTTTCCTAGACCTCTATAAATATAGCCTTCAGCACAGGAATGCTATATT